TCTCTCTCTCCAGTTACAGATTTCAGCTGCTAGGGATAATCTCATAATAAGCACCTTCAGAAAATCTTAAAAACATTTGTCCAAAAGAGCATTCACATATTCCAACACCCACTTGTAACCCCTGTGAACACACTTTTCTTCTTTAACACTTCAGTCCCCATTCACTTTTAATTTTGTTCTTTTCCTTTTGCAGGTAGCCTCCAGAAATGGTCATTTGAAAAGAACATGGGCTTTGGAATTAAACATCAGTCCTAATCCTGATTCTGCCACTTACCAGCTGTATGGCTTTGGGCAAGTAATTAAAACTTTCTGAATCTCAGTTTCCTCATCTGTAAAATGGAGGCGATGGCAAAACTTCTTCTGCAAGGATATCGTGGGAATTGCTTTAGCTAACGTACATCCATCTGTGTGGAATCTGAGGCTTCATATGTTGGTTTCCCCTCCTTCTTCATTCAGAACAAGGAGCTCACAAATTGTATCCAGTATGGCAGCTTCCTCAGTAGGAAAGGAACACAAGAGAGTGCTGGCCATAATTTACAAAGTCAAGCTTCCTGCCCTTTATGTTCCGCTGTGGTTAACAATAAGTGTGAAATGCCAAGGGCAAAAAGATGTTCACAGGAGACTAGAGACTAATGTTTGAGTTACAAGCTAACTACAAAGAAGGAAAGCAAGACTCATCTTCAACAATGAAGAAAATAAGCTAACAGTGCGATGAATGCAGCATGGACTAAAATGTTGTCAAGGTCATGCAAGAAGGAACAGGAAATGTCCTTCAGAAAAGTGCTGCTCATGAGGAGTCATTTGTGTTGCTTTCTGAAATTTGAAATCACCTCCTGAAATGTATTTCCTACAATTCCTCCCAGAGACAGCCTCCTCTTTTTGTTCCAATAGACAACATCACTTTGTGTGACTAATATCATGTTTTTGAAACGCTTGGTTGCTATGGTAACCTGATTGTGTGTGATAAAAAGAGCACGTTTCATCTCGATGGTTTGTTACACAACTTTCCAGCAGAATTCAGCTTTCTCAGTATACTGCTGGCTTTGCTGAACGACTGTCAGCAGTGGTTTGTTCTGCGTTTTCCCATGCAGCATTCTTCTGTAGGATTGCTAAGGACAGGCTGGGTCACCTAGGACTATTTTGCTATGCCCTGGAAGGTTAAGGGAGAGATGGAAAAGATGGAGCCAACCTCAGCCAGCTGAGGCTTAACAGGAGCAATTGGGACAGAGGTGGGAGGAAAGTAGGTTCTCTGGGGGTAGCCTGGAGTGGTGGCAGTGATGCCTCAGAAGCAGCCTGCAAAGGACAGCCCTGGGCGGAAAGGCTCACAGACCTCTGTGGACAGCAATGCCTGCCTGAATGGAGCCTGGACCAATCATATGTCTCAGATCTGATGTGAAAATCTGGAGATCTGTCTTCCCAGCCTGGTTCAAATCCTTTCTCTCTCTGAGAACTTGGGCAAGTTTCCTAATGTCTCTGAGCCTTATTTTCTTCTAACATGTGAAGATAATTTCCAAGGTCCCATCTCTAGTCCTGATCATCTATGATGGTAGGATCTTGAGTTAGACAAGGGCATCTGAAAGTATGGTCCAAAGACCCACTGAAGTATTAAAATCCCCAGGCCCTGTCTCAGATTTTATAAATGAGAAGCTCTGGGTCTGAGGCACCTTGATCTGCTTTTTCTCCAAAGGCTCCAGATGATTATTGTGCACAATAAATGTAAGAACAACTATCATAGAGTGCACCCATGAAAGCAAAGATTTCCAGGAAGGGCCTGAATGTCAGACTCCACGCCATACACATCAGAGTGGGTTGACTTCTAAGAAAATTGCTTAGAAGATAAATAGCTGCCTCCCCTGCAGCACCCATTAACCCCTAGTTACAAAGTACCAGTGCCAGATGTGCCAAGGAGTGGGAATAGGAGATCATGCTAGAATTAGAACAGTAGTTACAGTCTCAGGTTGTTCCTGCCCAGAAACTTCGAAGAAGGGTCTCCAGAACACTTTTTATCCACTCTGCATTAGAAATATAAATTTTTCTGCTGATAGGGTTGTAAGATTAAATATAGGGCATCCTGGGGTTTTTTGTCTGTTTTGGCTGAATCCGGCAAACCTCCCTACTAACCCCAATCCCAGCCTATAGCCCAGGAAAGATAAAAGAGGAAAAAAAGAAACTTTCCTGTCTTTCCATCAACAAGGTGTGTCATATTGCTGGATGGAACAGAGAACATTAACCTGAGATGAGGAAAAAAACATGTGCACATGCCTCTAAGGAGCCTGAGTCATGGCTCTCATCAGGTGTAAAAGAAAAACGAGGCAATAGGGATAACGTTCGACAGAAAATCATTTTCTCTTTCGCTTGGAGACTTCCCAAAACAATGACTAATTGATAAATTCTTGAACTTCTTAACTGGCTTTGCTCCAGTTAACAACACAGTGTCATCAACATTTTGCAAGTTCACTTCCAAATAAGTTAAATTAAGTGTATATCAACTGTGGATGTGGAAGAAGGCTCTGACTGTGTGTAAAAATATACTCAGTTTTAGCAACCACCCACAGTTAAAACAGAGAGAAAGAGAGAAAATAAAAATAAGAATTCACACACACAAAAAAAGATGGGAAGTAAGACTAGATTAAGATAAAAGTAGTCTGTGTGGGGCAGAGTAGCCAACTGGAATTCACATTCCTGGGTTTTCAAAGTTTAAGCCAAGAGATGCATTTATCTACACAGAGTTCTGCTGATCAAATGGGAAAGATTAGGCTGAGGCTACCTAAGAAAACACAAATGAGTTCTGCATAGAAGGCAGTTGTCCTTCTCATGGTCCCAGATGTCCTAGCTCTCCAACTCCACAACCCATTTATTTGAGCATCTACTATATGCCTAAAGCAGTGATGATCCCTGTCTTGGAGAAGCTTCTGACCAAGAGAAAAGACATAAACATTTGATATTAGAGATGAAACCAAGGATAGCTATGAAACAGCAGGGGAGTAATCCATGTGGGCTTAAAGTTTCGGCAAAGCTGGTGGTGGAGGCAAAATCTGAGATTAGTCTTGATGGATATGAGAATGAGGGACAAAGATATTTGGAGGTGAGAAATAGGGAAACAAGAAGTAGCAGAAATCAGGGCACCATATTGGAGGAAGAGAGCTGAGCAGAGGCATGTGCTGATGAGTATGTAGGAGCAGGAGCTGACCCTGCAGCCCCTGGTAGCTCTATAGCACTCCCCTTGTCATCCACACTCCTGCCTGGGAGGAGGGTAACAGTCCCCAGGCTCCCCCTGCATGGTAGACCAAGCCCCATTTAGATGCATGGAGCCTTTGGGCTTCCCCAGGACCCTGACCCCAGAGATGGAGATGATGATGAAGGCTGGAGTGCCATGAGACAGTTGGTTCTCTGATTTGGGGGGTAATGGACCTGAGTATTGTACACAAAGGATTTACTTTCTTAAACAAAACAGGGTTAGAAAAGTCTTTTATATGGTGCCCAGATGTGCTCTCCCACCCTCATATTTGCTTTCTTCCCTTTCAGCAGAACCCCATGACACAGTTTTCTTGACCAATTCTTCTGCCTAAAGAAGAAATTTTTTGAGCTAAAGACTATTTTATTCTTACAAAATTGAGACTGAATGAAGAAGGCAATGCTTAACTCAATGAATAGCAAATGATGCATTGAGTTGATCAATGAATAGCAAATGGTAGGATTTCAGGTAATAGCAGAGGAGATATTAAGCTTATATAAAGTAGTACATTGTCTAATGGCATTTGAAGGGTACCTGGGAGGTCACCTGTCTAAGGCCCTCTCTGTCATTTTGATCTGCCATCAACTTTGGAAAATTGTGATCTCTCTAAACACATTTGGAGGAGTAGAAATGGTATCATGCTATTCATTGGGGTTCCTAATATGTGTGTTTCTTCATGGCTACCAACTACAGACCAAGAGAGCAGGAAGCATAGTCTTCCACATAGTAGCTCATTCTAGGTAATAATCATTACCTTCTCTTTAAAGACCTGTTCATTTTCATTTAACAAGCCTTTATGGAATGCTTACTACATACTGTCTCATTTGTCTGTTAGCACTTGCTGGGAAATAGAGAGAGAGAGCAATAGTGAGCAAGAGAAAGAAAAAGACAGAAACAGAGAGAGTTCCCTGGGCTGCAATTCTCAAAATCTGATGGGTATAAGAAGCACTGAGGAGCTTCTTGGAAATACAAACCCCTGGCCCTACCATCCGAAGATTCTGGTTCAGTACATCTGGAGTTAAGCACTTGAATCAGTGTTTTTAATAAGTGACCCAGTGGATTCAGGTAAAGGTGGTCCCTGACCACACTGAGAATCATTGCACAAGACAATAACAGTATGTGGAGGTCAAAAATAAGAAACCTTAAATGGAAACTAAGCAGGCTGAGGCTACACATTGGTTAACCAAGAATCACAGAGAGCTCAGTGGGCCAGGCCCAGGACTGCCAGCTTACAGCAACACAGGAGTGCAAGTGTGTTCCACAACCCCCCCACCACCAACAGCACCACCATCTGTGAAATAGTCCATTTGGAAGCCACAAGGAAAAGCTCCATTTGCCACAAAAGCAGATCAAAATGGCTACAAGGGGCATGATTGACAACACCGGAGTTGCCATGGCAACTGTAATCCGTATGAGAGTTGAGCTGAGAAAGCTGTGGGTAAGAGAAAGGAGGAAAATAACCTGTGTTAAGGAGCATGTCATGTGATTTATAAAGGACTTGTATGTCTGTGTTAACCCACATTATATCCCAAATAATTGTGAAGAAACCAAAAGGAAAAAGGATAGATTCCTTCCAAGAACAGCTTATAGGTAATGGGCTGGTGTATAGGGGACTCATGAAGCATTACCTGACCTTTTGTGTTTTTCCAATTTGTTTCCAGTAATTCTAATATTAGAGTCTCCACCAACTGCTGAATGAATCAATCAAAAACAACTCAAACACAATATTCAAATACATACAAGAATGATAAAGACAACTCTGGAAAACAACCACGATAGATTTTTATTTAATTAAAAATATTATACATGTTGTTGCATTTTCATGGAAAATATTGAGTTACAAAACACCAACAGTGTTAGTTTTCAGAAACCTTCGTGCAGCCCATTCTGCCAACTGCTGCTTTCTTCTGTCCATGGCATTAACCATGTGTTTGTAAGGAATTGGGCCCATGGAACTGGAGCTTCCTAGGAGGTCATACCTACAGGTCTCCTGGAGTGAGCCTTTGCCTTGACAACAGTGTTCTGTCAAGTTAACTCAGATACACTCACTTTGGCTTCCTTGCAAACCATTGAAAGAAGCCCAAAGCACATGTTAACACCAATTCAGTTTAATTCAGTACAATTGAGTACTGCTCCGAGCTCACCCGGTTTCCAAGCCAGTTAGCAAATGACCTTGTATTTTACCTGGTGCATTAGTGTCCTGAGCTTCTCCACAAAACTTCCCCAGAACCGATGGTGGGAAGACACTGCCATATAGTGTTTATATTCAAACCATCAGCAAATACACAAAAACACATGTGGCCCCCATGTACAATACTATCACATAAAAAAAATACATATTGGTACAATACAACCTTTGGAATCACTGGCTAAAACGTAGTCATGTGAGTTTTTTAAAGTCTTCATGTAATTATACATTTGTTAAGAAAAATAACATGGCATAAAAATTTAACACAAAAAGATCATCTCAGCTATAAACGAATCACACATAAATACAAGTTGTGTACAATATATGCCTCTCCCTTGCCCCTTCCTTCCTTTCTTCGGACTGTACCATTTCCAAACTGATTCCCTTGACCCTACATCATAATGCTGCATTTCCATATTGCTCCCATATGATGCTTTTACTAAAATTGGACCTGATATGACAGAAACGTCCCGGCTCTGTTTTCCTGCCCCTTTGCTTTAAATTGCAGTATGCTTAATTTGGGTTCTGCATCCAGCTTTATATTAAAAAGAGATGAATTCCCCCCAAAATACACAAACAAATAAAAAAAAAAAAAAAAGCCGGACAGCAAAAAAAGTTAGAATTGCTTGATCTCTTAGAAATTGTCATATGGTCTTTTTTCTTCATAATGTCCTCTCAATTGATGGGAATAAAATAAGGCTGAAATTGCTTTTCACATTCTGGCTCGGTTGGGGGCATTTTCACATAGACCCCTGTTGTAAGAGGGCTTCTTTTCTTTAGCTGCCAAACACAAAAAGAAACAGTAATTATTATTGAAGCCACTTCTAACCATAATAGAACTCAACATATATTGGGTCCCTACTTCATTGAAAATGAATGTTCACAACATACTGAATTATAAGCCCCAGGAGATTTTCTTGATTTGGCTATTAAAATTCATTTTAGATAAATAACTCTGTGATTTAGATGTAAAATAGCAATCATTTGCCTTTATTGGAAGATAGGAGAAAGAGACTTGGAGAAAGCTTCATGAAAAACACCCAGAATGCCTATGATAATTGACTAATCTTGTCCATGAAGGAACAAGCTTGAAATGGTAATAAACTTTAATTACCCTGTTCGAGAACTGTACTTCTCATCTCCACTGCTCCTCCTCGCATGCTTTTTATTACATTTTCTCTGTCTGCATAAGTTCCCAGTTTTTATCACCTTAGTAAATTAAGGTCTAGTCTACTAGTATGTGGTAGTTTGTAGCAAATGAGGTAGGAAGAGCCTATAGCAACAGAAACGTGACTGCCAGGTTGAGTAGATGATCTTGGAATAGAGTGTGTCATTGTGTAGGGGGGCGATAAGGGAGGAGGGGGCGAACGGAGGAGATAAGGGAGAGGGAGGGGGGAAGGGTGAGTTTGAGATGTCAAAGCCAGCCTCAGGCAAAGATGGCTGAGAGGGACTGTCAGAAAGAAATCCTAAAGGGCATGAAGAAATATCACGATTTGTAAGAATGAATATGCTAATAATAAATTTTAAATTTTAATTTAAAAAAAGAAAGAAATCCTGACTGGAAGCCTGATTCCACACCGCCACCTCTTCTACTACCAACAACTGTAGTAAATAAAAACTGGGGCTTCCATTTACTGGGCTTGAAGGGGAGGGTGAGATGTCCCAGTCAAGCAGGCTGGATAATAGCCACAGGTGTAATGTGGGCAACTAACTACAGCTTGAACAAGGAAGGCACTGGGTGACCGCAAGAGATGACTTCCAGGTGAAACAGAGAGACATTTAGGAGGAGTCTAAAATCCATCCAGGTGGTCCTCTCTAGCAGCATTGCCCAGCTAATCTTGTGTTTCAAAGTCATTAAGTGCAATTGTCATGAAGATACAGAGCAAAGCAGCTGCCCCATGTTGTTCAGATGATTACTCAAACTGAAACCCTGTTCAGAAGCACACAAACATTCAATGTCAAACACTCATCTAAAATGTTAGTCATCCTGAAACCCCAAAGGCCAATGCCTGGAGTTCTAGTGCGTTCTTTACCACTGTCCTTCCTCCTCTCCAGTTATTGCTTCGTCTCAAAAAAAGTAAACTCAAGACCGTCATTGGTCAGTTGACACCACTAAAGGTGTCCCCACCAAACGTGCTGCACTGTCAGCATCACACTCACCATTTTGTTCAAAGAAACAGCTGTGATGAGAAAGCTGTAAAAAAACAATCCCGAGCTAACTGCTGCAAGGATCCAGAGGAGGAAGTCAGAATCTGGGCATGGTTCTGGATCTGCAACAGAAAAAAAACAAAGCCTCTCTGAGACAGTTTTAAACCTCAGGGCCCTATTCCCCCAGTAGGTGAAAAAAAGGAAGAAGTTAGAGCTTCCCAACCTTAATGTCCACCCCTAAATTGTGTTGGTAGCCCACAAACAGATCTAGGTATTTGGGACTACTTGCCCAGGAGTGTCATATAGAAAGCATAAGGCCAAACTTCATGATGGTTATCACTCCAGAGTGAGTGCCCTAACCTGCCAGGAGAAAATAACACCTTCCCTAACTCATTTTATTTTACAGTCAAAATGCTATTCAGGTCGCCATCCATAATAAGCAAGACTATCACGTGGTTAAAAACTCTTAAAGAGAGTTTCCACAGTCCTAAAAGTGAATGACCTGAAATTAAGGCAACTATTTTCAAAATTGTTTTTGTACAAAGAACACAGCAGTGCAAAAGGTGTCAACTTAGTGAAATGGCTCGGCTCACCGATGACATAAATCTGGGTTCCATTGCCCATGCCCATGTAGTATGGCGGCGGGTACATGAGTTCCACCTTGCAGATGTAGAGCCCTGTGTCCGTGGCCCTCAGCCCTTGGATGGTGAGGTTCACTTTGTTTCCACTGGAGGTGCCAGCGCAGGTGGAATCATCGAGGAAGGTCAACTCATTCTCCACCATGTACGTCGCAGCGCAGACTTCAGTCACCTGGCTGTTGTCCTGCCGTAGCACTGTCACCCGGACTTCAGCAGCTTTGCCTGAAGACGCGTACTCACACACAAAGCTGGCGACACCCCGGCTGCTGGCCAGCACCACTGCAGGCTGGGCCACGTGCATCGCTGGCATGGAAAAGCCAAAGCGAACTCAGTGAGCTCATGCTCAGCCGCGGCCAAAACCCCCGGTGGGGAAGGGCTGTCTTTGACCAGCCCCTCCAGTTTCACCTTGCGGCGCCTCTCTCCCCCTTCTCCAAGCCCATCACCCTCCCTTAGCCCTCCCCTCTGCACCCTGCCCAGTCTCCCCTCCATCTCTCAGCTATTTTCCAGCTGCTCTCCATAAACTTTTTATTAGGAAATAGTTTCTGGAAGACAGTTGACTGTGGCAGGAAGAACACTGATGGATGAACAGGAGACCTGGCTCTGTCACGAAACATGTGACCTGGGGCCTCCCCGATGGCATTCATCTTTCTCACATAGGATAAGAGGGGATTCGATCAAATGATATCTAAGTGCCCTTCATCGCTGGTATCCCAAGGTGATAATAGAACTATAGGAAAGCTAGTTCAGGAACCATAATGAGTAGTAGGGAAAATTCTGGAGGTTGAGGCGCAGAATCTTGCCTTCTCTCTGAAAGCAAAGCTCACAAACCTCCACCTATTTATTTCACTGACCCTGAACCTCTATCACCCGGGAGTAGCTGAGCCATGGCTCACTATGCTAGTCACCCCTTCCCTGGCATTACTGTCACAAGAGTGGGAGATGCTGATATTTGAAGGAAGCCACAGAGCTGAGGGCACCAGGTCGTTTCCTGTCTAGGTTAAGGCAACCCTGCTGTTAACTTCTGTGGGCTTCCCCTGCCACCACCTCTTCCACCCTCTCTCTCTCTCCTTCACTTGAACACTCTCGTATTCCTTTGTTCTTTCTTTTCTCTCTGCCTGCTACAGGATAAGGGAGGCAAGCTCTCCATATAAAGAGACTTGCATCTAAAAAATGGTGGCTTCATGTCAAGTTATCTTCCAGTAACTAACCTGGCCCCTCTTCAGTCAATCTTACAAGTGACAGCCAAAATTTGGATTGAATAATGACGCTCATCTGATGCTTTACTAACATTGATTGTGAAAAAACAAATAAAATAAATAATATTTAATGTCCTCCATGATCCATTACCAATCTATCACTCCAGTCTAAGTCTCTGGGACACCTCTTCCTGCCTATAGATCACTCTACTCGAGACAGTAGTCCCTCCCCCCGAGCACCTGTACAGGACATCTGGCCTTAGAAGACAGAACAATATGGCAGCAGCCATCACCCTGGTTATTTCAGCAGCTGTAGCTGGTAGACAGCAGACTCCTTCCCCAGCCTTCAGTTCTGCCTATTAGAGATGCCTTCTGAGCATCCTTTGCACTGCAACAACTCCATTGCAGTTAATCAAGTTCTGCCCTATATTAAAGTTTTTTGTGAGCTAATCATACCTTCCCCACATACTGCCTCCAGCCCATAAACTCCTGGGAGCAGTAGTTATATCCTGCCCAATGGGCACTTGACAATCTTTATTGTATTGACTCTAACCCTAAGGAAGACCAAATTTCCTGACCTCTCCCCAAGCGAGGTCACACTTATCACCACTAAATCTGGTCACACTCAATTTTCCAGTATCCACCATGGGAGGATCCTAGTTACAGGTTGAGATAAATTTCCTAAAAAGGAAATTTGAATACTTACAGGGGTATTTAATATTTACATGTTCAAAATATGTAAAATAGGAAAATTAAATCATCGAATATCTTTTGAGTACCTACTTCACACAAACTGCATGGTTTCTTAACCAAGAAGGTCTAGAGAGAGATAAGGTTGAGATACAATGAAAATGCTTGTCATTATAAGCCGTGTAACAAACCTAGTATAAACCTCTAAAGAGCTTTATTTCATCTGAAAACTGGGGATCTGCATCTGAAATCCACATGTAGGTCAGGCAACAATTAAGCATCTTATGCCAAACAGACTAATGGTTTGCTTTCTTCCTTTCTTTTCTTTTTTTTTTCTTTTTTTGCAACTTCAAACTATTTCATTTTTAAAACAATTGGCTAGCTAGCTTATAGAATTGATTAAGAGGTACTTAAAACCTTGAATTGAGTAAAGAAGGTATTATTCCCATGATTTGCTTAAATTTTAAACAAACTAGCTAAATTAATGAATTAGATGACCTTTAAACCTTGAATTGTATAGGAAAGAAACTCTTCCTGTGATTTGCTTAAGTCAATGTTTTCTTAAAAGAAAAATATTGAGCTCACCCTGATACCAAGCTCAAATGTATTCAGGACTGTGAATGTCTTTTCCCTCTTAAATGTCTGAAATTGCCTGTGTCTCCCAAGCCAGCTCACATGTATTCATTAAGCCCCTACTAAATAACTGGCACTCTGCTTTGAGCTATATCTCTGCTTATTTACTGCTGCCAGCTGTCCTCTGCTTGCCTTAAAATACAAAGTCATCCAAGCCCGGAGACTGGAGTTTTAACTTCTGGCTTTGCTGTAAATCACTGCCCTTGATTGCTGAGAGAAATGAAACCCGGTGGGAGAAACACCTCCTCCCCCTTCATTCTCTAAAAGTCTCACTCACCTTTGGAGAAGACAGGGATGAAGAGAAGAGAAAACAGGGCAGTGCAGGGCAAGGTCCTGGAAGCCAGGTCCAGGCGAGCCTCGTGCCTCTGGAATCCAAAGCAAGCCATGGCTTTATGGGAGCGGTGTTCAGGTCTTCAGGAAGCAGAGCGAAACCTTTCAGGATCCTGAAGCTTTGAAATGTGTTTGAACCCACACAGAATCAAGGACTTTATATAGATAGCTTTGATCCCAGATATGTACTATACATGTGCACACGCAGAAGGCACCTGAATAGAAAGCCTTTTTGTTTTGGTTTTACGAGAAAGGAAGCCGTGGGTTTAGCTGTTACGTCGAAAAGACAACCTGAGCCACTCAAATTAAAACTGAACAAAACAAGCCAATCCATGGATGGAAAATGTACTCAATGTGAAACTGAAGCTTCATGTTCACTTTGAGGATCTGGATAACTAAATGAAGATTTGGAGAATTTCCTGGAGTGCAGGAGTCCCCCTAATTTCCAATTTTATTCAATTGTCTGGGCATCTTTTACTTCTCAATTTATTTCATTGACCTCCCCAAAACTGATAAGCTGCCATCTCTGAGCCCTGGAGCTAATCACAGCATAAGTGTGTGGGTATCATCAATAAAAATTCTATGTTCTATCCATGAGGCACTATCCTTCAAAGGGTCCCTTAACATGCTCTACAAGTAAGAGTTTATTTTCTTAACTCCATTCAGCATTTTGTTGAGAGAAAATACCAAAATCACAGAAATAAACTGAAAGAGAGGCAGGAAAAACTGCCTCTGGTTTTGCAGATTAGGAGAGAATTCAGATGTTCTTAAAAGCCTTAACTCAACAAAGACAAAATAGCATTGGAGAAGGTCCAGAAAAAGTCAATCAAAATGATCCAAGAGATTAAAAATTTCCATAAGAGGATAGACTTTCTTTTTTCTAATAGGAATTTTTTTAAGCAGAAAATCCAAAAGTTAAATTTAAATATGAAGTTAAATTTATGACAGCTGCACATAGGACAAATGTTTATCTAATAAAAGACCCCCTCCCTTAAATCTGGGAGGTTTTCATACATTTTGTACATTTCAATGATGAAAGAAACATTTATTGAGGACCTGTAATACGCCAGGAGTTGTGTGCACTTGGGATTAAATGATGACAGGACAAAAACATAGCTGATGCTTTAAGTGGCTTCTAGAAGACTGACCTGCATATGGATGGACTATGGCATTTGCCTCCTCCAGTCCTTCCATGGGCCACACACCTCAATACAGCAGAGAAGGCTCTGTAGAACACAACCTATGCCTCTCTTTTTAGCCTATCTTCCAGCATTCCCTCACATGCCCCCTTCCTCTGTTTGTCATTTCTCTAACACATCTCTTTCAGATCTCATCACTTTTAGCCAGTCAGTTCCTACTGCATTTTTTCTCCCATTATCTTATTTTTATCCTTATTCTCATTCTCCAGGACCTAGCCAAGCTGTCACCTCCTCCAGGAAGCCTCTCCTAACCTGCCTATTTTCTATACTCCCTCAGCACCTTGTAGAAGTCTTCAAACCCCAGCTCAAATACCAACAAGTAATAACAACCTAATGGGCACTTACTAAGGGCCAGGTCCCAGACTGGGCACTGGAGATTTTTTTTTAAGGAAAAATGTATGTTTTTGCCCTTGAGAGGAACCCACAGCAGTGGCAGGGACAGATAGCTAAACCCATGGTCACGATAGAATGAGATAAATGCTGGAATTGAAGTATGGTACAAGCTGTAGAGGAGCAGAAGCCATTGGTTCAGCCTGTGGAAGTCAGAAAGGGCTTGTCAGAGGAAGGAAAATCTGAGTTTATTATTGAGGACAAGGGCAAGGAGTGGGTATTCAGACAAGAAGACAGCGCGTGCCAAGGTTGGAAAGGGCCAGCGACACGGGGATGAGCAGTAGGTGAAGCTCATCTTAGCAGTGAAGGTAGATGAAGCACAAAGAGTGAATGGGCATGACTGAGTTCACATTTTAAGAAATTCTTTCTTGTGCAGAAAGAAAGATGGGGAGGATGGGTTCAAGGAAGAATAATATATAACCAGGAAAAGAAGGAAGGAGACTCTTGTAATATCCCAGGCATCAGGAGTTGGAAAATTTTTTCTGTAAAGGTCCAGATAGTGAATATATTATGATTTGCACACCATACAGCCTCTGTTACTCAACTCTGCCACTTTAGGGAAAAAGCAGCCATAGATTAAACAAACGGGCATGACTTTGATCCAATAAAACTTTATTGACAAAAACAGGTCGAGGCTGGATTTGACCTGTGGCTACTGTTTGCCAAACCCTGGTCTAAACTAAGGCAGTGGCAGAAGTGGAAACAAGATCCAAGTGTAAACTAAAGGGACTAATCTATGGTCAGTGAGTGGAGGGAGAAGTTTAGGATGACACCGTATCTACAGCTTGGGAGGTACTGTGCTGCTGCCAGGAACTGTTCAAATGTTTGTCAAGTTTTGTCTCATTCAAGTCTCATAACAACCCTACAGGACTGGAGTTATTATTTTTCCCTTTTTATAAAAAATAAAACCAAGGCATTGAGGGTTAAGATGAGTTATCCAATTTCCCATAGTAGGTGGTAGAGCCACAATTTGATGCCAGTGATACCCTTAATCACTACACTAAAGCAAAGGCATTGAAGTCAAAGAGAACTAGATTTGAATCATAGCATGAAGACTTGCTAGCTGTTGACCTGGGATGAGAGCCCAATGTCCTCTGGATAATGGCATCTGTTTCTCATGGCTATCCCAATGATTCAATGAGATAATGCACATAACATGTATAAAAGCCTATTATGATGGCTGGCCACTCAATAAATAGGAGTTCTTTTTTATTACAGTGTCACTGAGAAGACAGTGGTGCAATTTACTGGAATAAAAAACATACAAAGAGCAGGTCAGGATGTGAAGATGATGACTTCCATTTGGGCATGTTGAGTTTATGACATCCGTGGATGTTAATGTGAAAATATCCAAAGCAGTTGCCAATAGGGATCTAGAGCACAGCAAGGGGTATGAGCTAAAGACATTAGTTTAGGCAACCATGAAGCCACTGATGAAAATTTCACAGGCCAAGGCATGAAATGAGAAATCTATAAACATTTGTTAAAAGAATAGATAAATGAATGAAAACAATTTAACATCAGAAGAGGAGAGGGTTGTAATAGAAATTTTCAAAGAAGTCTCACCAGGTTCCCTAATTATGCTTTCATGAAACTATTTCTGTCTAAGCAAGAAAATTTAATGGTTGTAAAAAACCACTGGGTGAAATAATGGTGAAAAAGATATATTCACATATATCACCCCACAGATTACTTGATAATTACAAGTGGGAAAATATAATTGACAAATCTAGCAGATACCGCCTTAACCAAGTGCCCCAACTAAAGATCACCCATGATGGAATTTCCTGACATCATGTACCTCTGGATATGATGCACTGAGAAGGACACAACATCTCTGTAGTATTAGTGCCAAAATTGTTTAAACCAGATCTAATCATAAAGAAATAATCATAAAAATGTATATTCTGTAAAATAACTTGCCTGTATTATTCAAAAATGTTAATATCATGAAAGATTAAAAAAGGAAAAGCTTGTAAAACTATTTTCTTGATTAAAGTAGAATAAGGAGACATGACAGTGAAATTAATGTGTGATTTTTGATTGAAAAAACTATAAAACACATTACTGAGACACTTGGGAAATTTGAGTATAGATGATATTTGATAATAGCATTGTCTTAATCTTAATGTTGAATTTCCCAAGTATGATCATTGTACTGGGGTTATGCAGAGAAACACCCTTATTTTTACGTGATGCTTAACTATTCAGGATTCAAGTATTGAAGATTTCTACCACACTCACACCTTCACCCCCCACACACTCCTTTGTACATATAGGTGATGGGGAATTTGTACAATTTTAATTTAGTTTACAAGCCTTTTTATTTCTCTTGCATCTCATTAACAGCTCTGGGGAAAGTGCTAAAAAGTAAGGAGATAATCAGAGGATGGAGAGGCACTAAGAGCCCAGCATAGTGGTTAAGATCATGGCTGGAGTCAGACAGACCTGTGTTCACATCCTGGCTCTGCTGCTTCCCAGATATGTGATCTTGGATGACGTTTTCGAACTTCTCTGATCCTCAGCTTCCTCATCTGTAAAATGTGGCTTATTATGGTAAGTATCTTACAGGGTTATTGTAATGATTCAATGAGCCTAGACAATAAATTGTTGAACACTGTGCCTATAATATAGTATGTACTCAGTAAATGTTACCTTATATATTAAACACAGAGAAAGCTATGGATTCCAAACTCAGCTGTTACATAAACCCTTCTTTCATTATCATCTCTAGTGAATGGATGGTACATTAAACTAAAATCAAGTACTAACTATTCTAGTTATTTATTGAATTTCTGCCCCTCTCAGTTTCTCCATCAGTATCTGAAACCAAATAGCTTATTATTTTTTACCTGATTGAATCTGAAAACTCACAACTCTAGACAGAATCTAAGAATTACATATTGAGAGCTCTCAATTATTCAGTGGTTGAATATTCAAATGTCTGATGGTACCACATCTTTGGACATTTTCATTTCAGGTTAGGAAGGGGAAAGTCAATTGTATTACTTACTTTTACCACTCCAATTTAAAACTTTAAAAAGTTGGTGGTAAAGGAAATGAAAGTAATTGGCTAAAATTAGGACTTGGGGATTCACTGTGATTTCATTCATTCACTATCTTCCTATATCCTAATAGCTTGAGTAAACCCCAGATTGGTTTTATAGTACTCTTAGTGGTTACTGGATTTGAAAGATCTCTCAAGATTTGCATAATTCATAGTGATGCCTATGGTGTAATGTCTTCAGAATTCCAGACGAGATAGAGTTTGAGCAGGGTAATTGCATTGTTTTATCTAATTGTATAATTCCTCAGTTTGTAAAACTCAATTCAACTTTTCAGACTTTTTAATCTTTTTTTTCTAAACCTCCTCCTATTATCCTTTCCCCAACTAGTACACCCAAAAAACCAATCTTTTATTGAAAGATTTGCACCTGGCATTGACTGTGGTACATACTGCAAAACATCCTTTGCTTGATGGTTTCAGATGTAATGGGAAGAATGAAAAGTCTAATATTTGCATAGCGTGCAGTTTCAGGACATCCCATTACGTTAAGCTTATAATTATGCCTAATTAAGGTTATATACTCTGTGTTTTTTTGTGCTAATTAGCTCATCACAGT